CTACCACTGTGCTTTGTTGTATATCTTTTTTTTTAATTGATGCGGTCGGGGGTCTTTCATATCTCTTCTTCTTTTCTTGTCTACTTTGGCAAAGTGTGTTGTTGCACTTGCCTGATTGGTGTTCGTCTCCTCCCCTGTGAAAAAAAAAAAAAAAAAAGTGAATAGCAAAAAAAGTTAAAAACTTTAAAAAAGAAGTAGGTGAAAAAAAGAACGAGGAGAGAGGAGAGAGCAAACACTGCTGCGGTGTGATTTCTTTTTTTCTTTTTCTTTTTCTTTTCTTTTTTTTTTTTTTCCTTTTCTTTTTCTTTTTCTTTTTTTATTCTTTTTCTTTTTCTTTTTGATCGCTCAGCTGGTAAGGCTCGCAAGTGGCATTCAGAAGATATACAATATGATAATTATTATTATAAATTGTAATGATAATTATCATCTCGTGGGTTCAATCCCCATTGCCGTCCGCATGTACCTTCGTGGGGGATGCTTGGCGCCCCACGAAGGTACACAGAGTCTGCTGATGTTCCTAGGGTGTCTCTTATACACATCTAGATGTGTATAAGAGACAGGACAAGGGCCTCGGACCCATCTATAACTCCGTGCCCTACTTCGTGAACCTTCTTTTTTTCCCCTCCCCTCTTTTTTACCACCTCTCTCTTTCTCCTCCACTCCCATCTGCTCTTACTCGTTTCGTACCGTCTTCGGCCGAATAGAAAATGCCCGGTCATTATCAATGTATCTAGACTGAAAGTTGCACCGAATACAGCTGTAATGACCGGGCGTTCTATTCGAGTGAAGACGGCAGTGCAGACACCCACGTATCCGCACTTCTCTTTTCCCTCATCTTCCTCCTCCTTTCTCTACTTCAATTTCCTCCTCTTCCTCCTCCTCCTCCTCCTCCTCCTCCTCCTCTTTAGGTCTGTATTCAGATCAACCTAGTGGTGGGTGGTTTGTCTTCCTCCTCCTCCCCCGACATCTCCCTTTCGCCGCTCCGCACCCTTCTTTTCCCTCCTCCTCCTCCCTCCTCCTCCTCCTCCTCCTCCTCCTCCTCCTCTCTAGGTCTGTGTTCAAATCAACCTTGTGGTGGGTGGTCCGTCTTCGTCCTCTTCCCCCGACATCTCCCTTTCGTCGCTCCGCAGCTTCGTCGTCGCTGGCGATGGCGACGCAAGCAATGGAGAAACTCGACCCTACAAAAAAAAAAAAAAAAAAAAAAAAAAAAAAAAAAAAAA